AGCTTCAGGATCTGTCCTTCCAGTGAGCACTCAGGGTTGATTTTAAAATAATTACTGTAACTTAGATAGCAGCATCCTTCAACACAATGGTTCTTTATCTATAAACTGTAACCAGACTAGGCAACCTTCTCACACAGAACAGGGATGGGTGGATTTCAGGTTTGCAGGATCTATATTGTGTTGTGTTTTGTTTCGTTTTTGACTAGAAGACTCGTTCACCAACCAGAGACAGATGCAAAAGGGGCACAATTAGGATGAAAACGTGGGAGGGTCCTTCAGAGCCCATTCTGTGCTTAGGAATTTCTTTTCAGTACCGGAGCAGAACTGAGCAGACAGCCCTGTCACAGACACAAACACAGTCCGTATTACTCTACATTCTTTGTTTCAGAGGTCAAGTCTAGATAGAAAAGGCCATTTTTGTGGTGACCAGTGTTAAACATTTCAGAGACAGAAACACTTGCTGGTCTACTGTAGATCTCAACAAGAGATCTACCAACTGATGCACATCTGCTTGTAGTCCAGAAACATCTAGGAACCTAAGTTCTTGATTTTTAGATGCTGATTAAAACTCATTAAAATATAGGTAGCCCTGACTCTTTATTGGTCCCATTCAGGAGGAGATCAAGAGAAGCCTGGACTGCTTCCAGTTTTTGAGGGTACTGTTAAAGAAAGAAAAAGAAAAAAAAGAAATGGCCAGACGATAGCGTTACAAACATTTTAGGATATATTTTAAATTTGAGGGCCTATGTGAATGTGAAGCCTGGGCGGACTTCTGTCAGGCCTGTGTGATTCCTGTTCCTTTTCTGTGCTGGGCTGCAATTTGGTTATAAGCAACGACAAAGATGGCACCAAACTGTATCCCCCCTCTTTCCTCCCCCCCAACCCGGCACCAGTCGTCTGACAAGACTTCACATTCCTTTTGTTTGACATTAAATAACCCAAGATGGTCTTCTCCAATTTATGCTGGCACCGTAATGGAACTTGTCTGTTTTGGCAGCTTGTATACCCAGCTTTAGTTCTAAGTGATTTAATGCAGCAGAAGTTATAAAGCCCAGAAAATTGTGGTTTACAATGGAAAATGTGACAGGCCATCAAGTATAATGACACTTACAGGCATGCTATAATGAAAGGCGGCTATACACAGATGAGAGGGACCCCTACAAGATGTTACATTAACAGCCTCTAAATTTTCATAGTGGTGGCTGGAGATAGTATCGTGACTCTGAGTTAAAGGTCTGTGGCGCTCCTGTTTGTGAAAGCCTCGGGGACTTCCACGTTTAATGGACAGACGCTAGTGTTCCTTTAACTGGGGAGTGCTGCTTCTCACATCATGTTTGAAAGGCAGGGTGCAACTCTTAAAAGTTGAACCCTTGTCTAAAGACATGGAAAGCATAATGCAGAATGCATGTGTAATTCCTGGCTGGCCTGCGTGTAATTGGATACCCAATCTCCACCACCCCCCTCCCCATCTTACCACATGGCATGGCTCAAAGAAGGGAGCCAGCCAGCTTCTGTTCAGAGCCTGGGTTACTTACACACTCAGCTGCTACTCCCAGCGTGCAGCAGATTGGCTGGGGGGATGATGGGATGTGAAGTCCCAAAACAGTAACTTTTCTGTGTTTCAGCAACAGCCAAATGGATATAAGCTTTATAAAGGCTGAAATATCACAAAGGGCTGAGTGCGCTTTTGAGTTCTGGGTAGCTCTCTGGCGGCATTTTGAACAAAATGGGGAGAAAGGGGTGAGATGGAGAGTAAAGACCTTAGTGGGGGGGATGGGATGGGAAAATGTCTGTCTGCAGAATCAGGGTCAGCCCTGCCATTAAAAACTGCTGTATAGCTCAGCACTTCAGGTCTCTGGCTGTGGTGCCAGAGGTTGAGGGTTTGATTGACCTACTGTGTCCTTCCTTGACAGGGGCTGGACCTGATGATCCATAGGATCCCTTCCAGCTCTGCAGTTCTAAGATTAGCCATATTGGGTGGAAGAGCACAAGGCCCAAGTGTGAAGGAGAACCAATAGATGTTACAAACAAAGTGGGTTTCTTGCACTTCAGAAACACGGCAGCATGTTTCAGCCCAATCAAGATATGCTGTTCCTCAGGGGCATTTATTTTCCAAAACATAAAGCAGACCCCTTACAGTCCGGTTCCCAGTTCCACTAAACTATGATCACTTGAATCATGGCATCATCAGAATGGAATAAAATGGAGTTTCCTTTGCTAGTGCATGTTTATTTAGGAAGAACCATGGTTTTATGTTGTGGAAAGACAATATAATTCCAAGTTAAACTGGTAAAGTGGACAACTCTAACCGTCTACGTGGCCAGCTGACCTTTGATTTATGAAATTAAACAAAAGAAGGAGAAAGAATTGAGTAAGACAAGCAATGGTTCCCAACCCTGGGTCCCCTGATGTTCTTGGACTAAAACCACCAGAAGTCTCCACCACTAGCTGTGCTGGCCTGGATTTCTGGGATCTGTATTCCAAGAACATTGGGGGACCCAAGGTAGGGAACCACCGATGTAGGGCCCTGCCTGCAGCTTTCTGCATGGCCATCGGAGGTGGGCTGCTGGGTCACAGGGCTGATAAGAGCTGTTATTTTTTTCATATATAAATATATTTGGGTTGCCTATGGGGCCATGCTGGGGACAAGGATTTATATTACATCTTTACTAATTATAGATAAAGATGTTCTTCAACTTTTAGCCAACGGCTTTCCAGTTTCTTGTCGCTTAATTCGTATGTGATGCTTGAACGTTAGAGGGAATGTTGACTTCTTCATTCTCATAGGCTATATAACCTGCAGGTAACTACTATTCAAAATGACCTTCATCAGTACATCCAACTCTATTTTTAACCCAGTCAGCTCCAGGGATGTCGGCAAGGCTTCAGTCCCAAGTCCTGAGTCTGAGTGTTCAGGCCTGAGTACCAAACCTCAAGTTTAAGTCTCGAGTCATTTGCCCTGCAAGAAGGCTGGGGACTTGGGACTCTGACTCTGGGGACTCAGGACTTGCGTGCAGCACCCAGTTGATGGGCTGGTGCCTGCACCAAGACAGCAGACTGACTTCCCTTCCCAGAGCCGGCCCCAGTCTCTGCATATGTGCCAGCCTGTCAGATGGGCAGTGGGGTGGGTGTGGGCAAAGGAATCAGCCGGCTCCTGGAAGGGAAGCTGGGTTTGCTTCCACTGAGGATGATGGCGGCAGTGATAGCAAAAGGTAGGTAGGAACTCAAACACGCCTCAGAAAAAAATGGTTCCGAATCGCAAATAGAGTCTGCACCCCGAAAACCCCAAGTCAAATTGAAGTCAAATCGCTGGTGTAGCTTAAGTGAGACGGGACAGGGAGTGGCAACTCTTGAACCCCCACCCATCCCTTGTGAGCTCCTTGCTCTCTCACAGTGCTCACTCTCATGCCACTGCAAAACAACTCTTCTCTGCAAAGGGAAGTGAAGCGGCATGATTTGGGCGATTTGGATGTGAGGCACAAACAGGACCAAAGATTCCACCTCACCTACTGCCTTTTGCTCCCACCCTTCCCTTTCCTGTTAGGTCCTATTAATTCAGTGACTGGAATCCGGTAGTAAGTTGCAACAGAGGCCCATTGAATCCATGGGGATTTGGTGATCCAACTCCTCCATAAATTCCATTGGTTAAATGGCCTTCTCTACTTGCGACTTACTACCGGATTTCAGCTATTGTTTTTAGTTTTGACTTACTACTGGATTTCAGCTATTGTTTTTAGTTGCCTGCCCCCACCTCATAGATCCTGATCCTCTGATTTGGCTTCACCCCAAACGGGCCATGCCATTTGCCAGAGTGAAGCAAATAGGCCAAACCACAGATTTGGAGTTACTTTATCTGTAATGGATGTTGCTCTGTGCCCTCAAGTTGGTTCTGACTTGTGGCAACCATAATTGGAATTTCAAGTTACAGAAGATATTGAAAGGGTGAGCTTACCACTGCCCCACACCCCGTGGGGATTTAAACCTAGATCTCTGGAGACCTAGTTTGCCAGTCTGTTTACTAAATCAGACTGGCTGCCCAGCTTTGTTACTGTTGTATTTGTACTTTTTGAGGAGAGGCGTTTCTGGGATTTTCTGCCTCATGTTCCAAAACAACACAGCTGACTTGAGGTATTATTTATCTTGACTTGGGCGGAACAGTAGCTTTTGTCACTTTGGGTCAGGCAGGAGTTTTCTTGAACTCACTTTAGCTTGATGTCAACACCTTGAATCTGTTATTATAAAGATAAATCAGAGTTTGGGAGAGTTATTTTTGGACCATAGCATCCAGAAGCCCTCAGCCAGCATAGCCATTGTGTGGTGCAGGCTGGGGGATGCTGGGAACTGCAGTTTCCAAGCTCTGGATCAGAGCACTGTCAGTAACAGAAAATAGTGTTTTCTGTACTTGGTGTGGCATTTCTGATGGGAAAAGGGAATTGGAAGCATTTCCCCACTTCTCTGTATTTGGAAAGGGAGACTGGCATTATGTTGTCCAATGTTAAGATAATCAAGTGAGCCTGTCTTACCGTGTTGCTGTAAACAATGAAGCCCTTTTAATGTTGCTTCCTAAGTAAGGCTGTATTGGCTGAAATCCTGTGGCTTAGTCTAGTATGTTGCACTAGGGTTGAACAGCAGAGGATCTGGTGTTCCAACACCTCCATAAGTTCCACAGGTTCAAGAGGGCCTACTCTAATTGCAACTTGCTATGCTATGCAACAGGATTCCAGGCATAGTTTTTGTCATCATTCAAACCATACGCTTGCCTAGGTGGATTTCCTTGCCAACATTCCCTCTCTTTGCTTCACTAAATTGCTTAAATAAGAGCAAATGCTTCCTTGGCTTAACTGGTATGTTGAAGTCTGCTTAAACACTTCTTTTATTGACATACACAGCTAGAACAAACGAAGGTGAGATGAAGCTCGCATAGTCAAAAGCCTGTGCTCCTTCCTTTATTGGGCGCTGAAGTCTGTCTGATCGGTACTCTTGTTTGTTTTGTTTTCTAGTGGAATGGAGCTGTTCAGAAGACTTTTCTCCTTTGGTCGGGGAAATCATCATGGATAATCTTCAGTCTTTGAGGTGCACCATTACTGGCCTCACAATGGTAAATGGAAAGTCATTAATGTCAATTGCCTGCTCCCCAAACGCTAGCAGAATTTCAGGCTTTGAGTTGAAGCTGCTTGCCGCAAACAGCTGAGTGCCATTCCTTCTGGCAAGGGCTGCCTGCCATTAAGCACATTGTGCCTCTTATCCAGCATCTGAAACCCACAAAAGGATAGGCAGGCAGCATGGGTTGTTTTCTAAGTTGCTATGTTGGGGGGGGGGGGAGGAAAAGAGCAGAAAGAAAGCTGCCATGCCATGGATCATGGGCTAATCTTAGCGCAGATCAAAGGCTTTGGTGAGATCCAATCTGGAGTCCATGTCTGATGACTAAAACAACAGTTCCATCTCTACAGTTTCACAAGGGAAACAAAAGTTGCTGGTTGCAGTCACTTAAAAGGAGAGAGAAATGTTTATAGAAAGATTAAAGGTGGGTGTCTGAGGGACAATAATCTCCCCATTGGTTCTTCTTCTCTTTGGTTTTTCTATACATGTCCATTTTGTATACATTCCTCTTCCCTTCCTTTTGGTCTCACAGAAGCAGTGGAATGTGTAGTGGCAGAAAGCAAACAGCTTTAAAAATTCTTCAATATCTACAATAGAAATAAGTGTAAGTTGGGGGGGGATGATTAAATCTATCATCCTGTCTTCTTTCTACAATAGAAATAAGTGTAAGTTGGGGGGATCATTAAATCTATCCTCCTGTCTTCCTTCCCCAAAACTAAACAAAACAAAAACCAATGAACATCCTCTTTTGGTTCTCTTAATTCTAGACACACCGAATTGTAAATGGATTTCTTAAAAAAAAACCTCTACCTCAGAAACAAGTCTTTGGTACCAAGTCCTGATTCTTAAACATTAGATTTGAAGCCTTTTAAAAAAAAATTCAGACTTTTAATTTATGAGGAAGTCTTGCTTTCAGTACATGTTGTGACACAAACTTTCACGATGAGACTGAGGGTGCACTTGGGGCAGATGGTTTCCTAGTATCCGGCTGATGGGAGGCCCCACTTGTAACCTCAGTCCTCTCTGCTAATATACTAACTTTAAAACAAAAGCTTTAATACTATCAAATCAAGTGGCTGATTGAAGTTGTGACTCTCTTTCACGTCATGGCCTTAAGATCATGTCATACTTGTGCGAGGGTTACAACCCCTGATACAATATTGGCTTTCGCTCTTTGGATCTCCCAGTTCCAGTTGAATCTACATGACACAGTTACAGTAGTCAGAAACCAATCCAACATATGGAATCCTGGGATTTGTAGTTTGGTGGGTTGCTTAGAATTCTCTGCCAGAGAGCTCTAGTGCCCTCCTTGAGCTAGAGCAGAGACTTCTAAGGACCTCATTTAAAGCACAGATCCCAGAATCCCATAGAAGGGAGTTGTGGCAGCTAAGTCTTATCTAGCGGCTATAACTGTACCTCCAGGTAAATAAGGTTTTTGCAACATGGTTACAGGAACAAAACACCCTGTTTCTAAACTCTTTATCAGCTGTGAAAGTATCAGGAAGAAATGTTAGTGAAGCTCACCGTGTCTGGGTTCTGAGGAAACCAGAGAATAATAATGGCAAAGGCAAGCATTACAAAATGCAAGTTTGAAATGTTAGCTTCCAAGAAAAGACAGTATTTTCTTAGAGAAGGGGGAAATCTCATTTTTCTCTCCCACCCTTTTACCACCACCTCATTAGGGCCCATCTCCCTTCTGTTCCCTTTCTCACTATGCCAAAACCCTGAAGTAGTTATTCAAATAGAAGAACGCAGCAGGGAGGAGGTGGGATTGGAGATTGTGGAGCTGGCAGGGAGAATGATGGGGGATGAAGTGTTAGAAATTGAAAAAAGGAGATAAGAAATTCGAGACATCTAATTAGTTTGGACCATAAGCCAAGTCACTGTTGATCTTTTTGGAAATAGCTCAGCTTATTCCTGAACAAATCCAATATGTGCCCAATGGTTTGTGACAAGTTCTTGTTCAGTTCTTCGTTTCCATCAGGATAGGCGATCTGAACAGGGTGAGACAGCCTGTCATGGGTTTGTAAACACCTGTGAGATGTCTTGCTTCAGGGACCAAAATGGACCAAGGAACCTTTTTTTTCTTGTAGGTGGTGTCTCCATAATTTGCACAAACCATCTTTGTGCAAAGCTACTGCCCCTTCCCTGTGTATAGCAAAGCATGAACATCGAAAATAGCAACCACAGAATTCAGGAATTGATTGTTCGAGAAGATGAAAACAACCCACCTGAGGCTTTTTAACTCTTAAAAGCCCATGCAGAGATGCAGCAGGTGTTGTGGCCTTGCACAATTTGTGCACTTCATATAATATGTGTGAGAACTCTAGTGAAGGGCACCAGAAAATATATTTCCGCCATAAAATTGGTTTTGCATTCTTGCTCGTGAAAACAAGAAAAGCAAGAGTTTATACCATAAAAGTAGAGAGGAGGAGTTGCCTGCTGCTAGCAGTGACTATACCAGCAAGCGGAAATTGATGCAATTTACAGCCTGTATAACACTGGAGTTTACAGTCAGTGAGCACACAGTGGCTGTGGATTGGTTCAGGAGTTCAGTATTCACACTCCAAGTAATGCAATTCACATTTCAGCCGACACCCTGCCCGGGGATGGGGACTTGCAACTCGGGACTCACTGTTGAGTCAGACTTAAGTCGCACCTGTGACTTGACCTGGACTTGACTTGGGGGTTTCTGGGGTGACTTGTGAGTCGACTTGCAACTCAGATCCATTTGTCCGAGTCACATTGTCAAGTCCCCCGCCCCACTGGCCTACCTTCTGCTGCCATCGCCATCTTCAAAATGCAGCACATCAGAAGGCCTTTCATGGGGACGCTGTAGCCTACCAGGGTGACTTACAGGAAGGGGTGGTTCAGAGAGCCTGTTGTCCGAGTACAGCATCACTATGAAAGACCCTGTGCCTTTCTTCTCCCTCAGGGGGGCCTGCCCGTGCTGGCCTATCAGCTGGTCAGCTCACGGCCTGACTCCCAAACGGAGCAGCAGCAGGTAGGGCAATGGCAGTGAGGGCAGGCAGCAGGAGGCCCAGGTCTTTGGTACCAAGTCCTGATTCCCAAACCTTGGAGTGGGGCAAGCAACTCACAACTTGGACTTGGGACTTGGTACCAAAGACTCAGACGTGGACTTGGGACATGAGTCCCGAGACTTAGCAACATTCCTGAGCCTGGCCTTCTTTTCCTTCCTTCCTTTTCTGATCCTATGATTCACTGTCAAGCTGCTTGGTTTGGAAAGAGTTGTACAGTGTTTCGGAAAAGATGGCAGCATCCCAAGCTTCTTTCCAATGTGTACAGAAATATGATATCCCACAATAACTGTGGTTTTGGTTTTTGTTTTTTCAAATTTGGGTTGTTTCTGTTTAGAGGTTACCTAGTGTTAAACTATTATACTAGTGATAAAGTGATCTAGCATTAATTTCTTATGTATGTTTTTTAAAAAAAATGGATGTTCAAGGGGAAAGAATGTGTGAGCAGGTGTCCATATAGTCCTGAACATCATCCCCCAACCGATTTCAACGGGCTTTTGTGTCATGTGAGCAGGAAAAAAAAAACTTTGAATCGACCCATTCCTGCAGTATTTGATCATGTAGTCCAACTATTCTCAGCCTTTTTGGGGGCACAGGCATAAACACAATATGGAAGAAATATAGGCCAAATCAGGATTGTGTTAAGTCATTTGACAGACCTTATAAGGAGAAGTGTGAAAAGTTATTTCCAGTCTGTAACCCCCTTCAAATGTGCCACAGTCCCACGGGGGTGGGGGGTGGGATAGGCCCTTGTTGAGAAACTCACAACCTCACAAAGGCCAAATTACTCATGACACAGCACACGTTTTGTAGAGGTTTTTCAAAGAATGCAGGTTGCATCAGCTGGGAGGGATGTAACAAATGGGATGGAAGTAGGGACGTGAAAGAAATTTAACCTTTTCTGCCCGTTCTTTTGAGGAAAATCCCTGTTTAGAAGCTAGAATTTGCTTTGGGGACTGCAGTCCCAACATGGAACTTCATCCCAGTAAAAATACTAGATGTTTCCCCTGGCAAAATTAGAACAACAAAAGGTATAATTTCTTCTCCAACATGTTCTGAATCACCATTAATTTATCACTTCTCCATTTGTACTTTTAAAAAAACTGCACATTCAAAGTAACATCCAGTTTGACTCAGCAGAAGGCAGCTCCTCATGCTAAAACTGGGTGTCTCTGTTGGTTTAGAATGCAGAGATAGTAGCCGCACTGACCTTGAATTAATCTCATTAGTTTCAATGTGAGACTAATGGACAGAGAGCCAGCTCATGGCCCCATGAAGTGCAATCCTATGCAGGCAAACCTAGAAATATGAGTTCAATTAGATTTCCTATCATGTTAAATATGTATAGAATTGGAGATGTATCCTGTGGCTCGAAGAGTTAATTCTGGTACAACATTTCATGAAATTATAAAATATACTGGAGGACAGGTGGAATGTCCTGTAGTTTCTCAGTGCTGTAACAGTTGGAGTGCTTCTCATAGTTCAAAAGACAGATGAGGTGGAGAGGAGGGGCAAGAACAGGTAGATTCGCTGTGGCCATGAATAAAATCTGTAACTGAAAATGTGGTCAACAAATGATAGAGGATTTAGCAAATACTGTACATTGTCTTTCTTATATCCACTGGTTCATATTTCTGGCTTCTTAGTTTCCTGTAAGCATTGTGCCTGAGAGCTGGAGCAGACTGAATAGGGTCATTTAAGGCCACACAGAGGTCCAATATGCCATTTGGGGCAATCCGTGCATCCACATGGCATACACACCTCAAGTGACCCTTCTTGGACTGCCTCCGTTTAAACGGAAAAAGAAAGAAAGTAAACATTTAAAAAAAAAAAAAACTCCTTCTCAGCTCCTTTTCCTTCTGAGGGGAAGCTTTCAGTTCCCCCACCACCATCACCAAAAAAAAAAAGGTATGGCACATCAGCCATGTCCTAACTAGTTGTTGTTGTTGTTGTTGTTTTAAATTCTTTGCTGCCTCTCTACCACCCCCCTCCACGGAGGACCAGAGGAAGTTTTTTTTTTTTTTAATTTCCTAATGCTGTGAAGTGGCTAAGTTGTCTTCTTAAGCCACTTAACGATACTGGGAAATTGACAGCATGCAGTCTGCTTTTGGTTCGATCCCAGTGATCACATGTGCTGGAACAGAACCAAAACAGAGTGATCCTGCCTGCCCCTAAAAAAGAGTAGTTGCTAAAAAGGTGTGAGCAGGAATGCTCTAGAGATGGTCTGTTTTGCTCTGGACATTATGCCATTTGCCCACTGGCAAAAGGAACGAAACAGCCTATCCCCAGAGCAGACCAAACAATGAGACAAATTATTGTCGAGTTGCACCCTGAGACAATGAGACTGCAGAACAATGAGGGCAAAGAAGATGAGCATCCCGTCTGATTTTGTTTTGTTTTTGTATACTCCTGCTTTGAACTTACGAATGTAGTTTTCTGTGCTGTTTGACACTATTACATTCCACTAACTGCTGTTGCTTCTCACAGATGTAACCCTCTTCCTCACCTTTTTCTTCTTGTTTTCTGTCTTTCTTTCTCTCTTTCCTATTTTATCCTCACTTCTACTTAAACTGACTTGGGGTGATGACCAGTCTCATATATCTTAATTAGACTTGGAGATGAATATAAAAATGAATCAGGATATTAGTTATGTTTCCCTGATTCATAAGATATTCATTAGTTCATATTCTTGGGGTCCAGAGACCCCCCCAATGAATATGAAGCAATGAATATAACACTTTTATATTCATCCCTTCCTTCCCTATCTGCTTATACCCCTGAGGATCAGGTGTTCCTTGGGGGCATAAACAGAGAGGGGTTTTCCCTTTGGTTGGCTTGCTAAAGCCTGTCCGAAGGGAATCCCACCCCTGGGGCTGTGGGACGGCTTGGTTCCCTTTTCCTCCTCTTGCTATGCTCCACAGGAGGGGAAAAGGGATCAAAGCGATCCTACAGCCATGCTGCCTCTGGTAAGCCAGTGCAGTGGTGGGATCCCCTTTCCCTTCCTCTTGCTATGCCCTGCAGGAAAGCAAAAAAAAAAATGACCCAATGAATTGATGACAGATTGATTTGTTGTTCATCGGGTGACTGGGGGGCAATTCGTGGGTTGTGGGTCATGAAGTTTGACGGTCCATGAACCAAGACAAAGTGTCATTTTAGCACTTCGTCCCCATCTCTAATCTTAAATGTTGTCAGAACACTGCATCCAATGTGATATCATCACACAGGGCTGATATCACCACCTGCACTTGGGGAAGCCATTTTGAGGTAAGAGCAGCTGTCCAAAGGAATGAAAGGTTGATACAGCCTTTCAATCAGCCTTTATAAGCAGCTGAAGACGAGTCATTGGACTGATTGCCTTCAGTCCTTTGCCACTGATTAACAAAATCATGTTCACTTCAGACTGTGTTCATCAACTTAATGTTTTCTCTTTGGTTTGGTTTTTCATTACAGGGCCGAAGCTATTATGTCAGAGTTTATGCTTTCAACATGAAAGGCTGGGGACAGCCTCAGACTTCCACACCCTCTTGCGCTGCTCCTTCTAGTAGGTTAAGAGCTTTCATCTCTTTCAACTGTGACTGGTAATGTTGTTTTTTTAAGTGAATTGTGCAAAAAAAAAAAAAACCTAGATGGAAGTAGAACAATGCTAAGAGAAAGAAATGAAATGTTTGAATGTGAATGTATTTTTAGACAATATAATATGAATTTATATATACAATTACCATTCCAGTTATAATTATTCACCCATTTGGCTGCCTGCAAAAAGATCTGATGCTTCAAACATTTGTGTATACATTTATTTATTTGTACATATATAGTGCCACTGATATACATGCCACTTGGTATAGAACGTTTTTCAAAAGAAAAAGGAAAATATGTTATGAAGATCATAACAATCTAAATTTGATCCAAAGTTTGTGAGGGAGAGGGATTGCTTTTTTTCCCCCTGCTACAGGTCCCATAATCTCCTAGCCAAGCAGGGCTGTTTAAAGTAACAAGGCTGTTTAAAGCTACTTTTAAAGAAAGGACTGTGTTTTCATTATGGAAGAAACAACGGAAAGCGGGCAGATTCAGGAAGAAAGAAAGACGCAAGAATGATAGGATTAATAAAAGAAATTCCATTTGGCTGTGAAAAAATGCTTTACCAAAAATGTCACATAAGAAATGGATTTAGAGAAATATCTGGTTCAGTTGATTGTATCTAATCTCAACAAGATGAGATATGAAAAATCAATTTGCCTAAAAATTACATAGCACAAATTGGAATAATATTTGTTTGGGGGAAAAATTAGAATACTAAAATACAGTACAAAAATATATCATCGATAGCCACCCTGTTTGGTTTGGTTTTCTCTCTTTTTTGTTTTATTTTCTTAATGTGCAGCAAACATGTACCTTTTTCCCTACCAACTCCCTATTTACATTTTATTGTTCAGGGCGTTGTTTTATTTCAAAAGTAAGCACTGACTGAACAAGGTACTGCAAAATATCTAAAGCAGTCCCACAGTGACATTGGTGGATAGGTGAAAACAAGAAGCTTTGAGGAGAGGGTGGGAAAAGGGGGGAGGAGGTGAAGAGAGAAGTGGATGGGGTGAGAACAGAGGATAGAAGCGAAAAGAGGAGTCAGTGAATGTTGGGATCGAAACATGGTTGAGCGTTTTGGGATGTGCGAGAACTGACAGTGTAGGAATGACGTCCAGCAATATTTAGCCTCCACCTGCGTGGGTTTAAAAACTGGCATGATCTTGTCAAATTGGCAACAACAAAAAAATATCCCAGGGTGCCCCTGGTTGATTAGAAACTTCCTGATTTAATGACCACAAAAGGTAGAGAAAGGGGGCTCCATGCCACAGGCAAAATGCTCATGTTTCATATTTCAGCTTGTCAAGCCACAAAACAATTGGTTGAAGCAGTTCATTATAAGGGGAAGGCTAGATGGAAATTTTACCTAATTGCAATCCATTCATTACACAATATTTAACAGCGTTCTAACCACCGCTTGGAAAATATTGCAACTATGCTTCAGCACTCTCATTTTTCTAGGAACATTTTTTTTCTTTCTTTCTTAGCATAATAGCATCCTACTGCTAGTCATTTTTAATGTGACACGATTCAGTGCTAAATGACGGTGCCCATGCTGACTTCCCTTATGCAGCTGAGTGTAGTAGTTTATTCAGTTTATTATGTTATTTGCTGCTTTGATTGAGGATAGTAGAATTTCATGTGCTTAAAAGGCTAACCGGACTGAGATAAAGGCGCTGCATTTACCCTGCTAGCTGAGAAACGTTTCTTTTTCATATATATTCTGAAACTCATTCTGTTCATGCATTCCAAATGCAGTGAGGGACAACACAGCATAACTGTGGAAGGGGTCTCGGCTCCAGCTTTCCCTGGGACATCATCTCGAAACAGCTTTCTGTTTCACTTCATTTCAGATAGAACTTCCTGTCAGATATTGCAGGTCATCAGGGCATGTTCACTGAGCAGAGAATTTGACATTTAACAAGATAAATGCTGCATTATCTAGTGGGAAGGAAAAAAAGAAGTTTGGTATAAGTCTGCCCTGCTTACTGCCGTCTATGTGTCTGGGTTGGAGTCCCTGAGTTGAATTTTTTTCTGACACCATTTGATTTGACCGCCTGTCCCCAATGACTGCTTGTCAGACAGCTTCCATCCGATTGGCTGCTGAACAGATTATTTGTCATACTTTCTGAGAAGTCCAGGCAGGCTTCACATTAGAAATCAAGGATGCCTCTACTGTGGATATTGTGCTCCAGCCTGGTCTCTTTTAACCTGTCATAGCTCTACTCACAGACTGACAGAGGAAGAGTTTGTGCACCTTGGTCCTCGGAATGTTGGGCATGCTAGCGCCTTGGACCCAGAGCCCTTAGGGGTACACTTTCCTGTGCCCCTAGATGGAGGACTGTTGGTTCTAGATTCAGATGAGGAGGCAGAACTCCTCTGAGTCCACGACAGAGGTGCCAAGGAAAGGAAAGGGCTTTCCAAAGGAAGTCTCTTTTATGAGTAGTACCTTCCTTCGGAGCTAATAGGCTCCTTATGAGTAAGATACACCTCATCAGGAGTCCTAAAGCTGTCTAGTCCATCCTCAAATAGAGGTCTGGCACCAACAGGACCTTAGACTCATTGCCGAAGCTCATTGCTGAAAACAACATCAATCTTGCTCTCCTGATTCTGCTTGCTGTCGAGCATAATGTGTAGCTTGCATAATTAAATTGTAAACCATCTAGAGAGAGTTTGAAGCGTGACAGGGTGGTATATAATCAGTGCACTTTACTATGGTTTCTGCTGCTGACACTACCACCACCCTGTCTGTGTATGACTTTGGATAACTAGACTATGCTTCTTGGATTCTCTTGATTGCCCTCCCAATCCCGGAATAAAGACGCAAGACAAATAATAAGGGTTGAAACACAGGCCACACTTTATTGATTGCAATTCAGATTTGCCAATCATTTGGCAAAGGGGGGGGGCTGCCATAGTATGGAAATAGGTAAATCACTGGGGTATCTGAGTACCCCAATCAGCAGGTGGGCGAGTCCCCGGCCCCAGGTTCTTGCAGTCTTAAAGACAGCAGGAACCCAGTTGGGCACAATTTGACCACCCCCAGACCCCCAAGCCATCTTTACTTGATTACCGTTGATCTGGTAGTGGCCCAGCGCATCTTCCCACCCCCCAAGCACTGTAATCACACAATCCGCAGCGCTGGGAGGTCCGATGGGCTGTTAGCTTACCTGATTTTGCAGTGGGACTCACCGGAAATTACCTGTTTTTCCACACTCCCCGCCAGTGTGACCGAATTTCTGCCACAAAATTGCCAGTGCCCCGTGCCAGTGTGAGATAGGCAAAAAATCCCCCCTTCCAACGGCCAATCAGGATGAGGGTCAAAAATTCCTATCTGACCCCTGAAGGCAACCAGAAAAACTCACACTGGAATTAGGGCAGGCAGGTGGGTGCCAGAAAAAGAAGAGGACGGTTAGAGAGAGGAACACCCCTTAAATAACCTGGTGTTCCCCCCCTCTTCAAGAAACTCTCGAGAGAACATAAGATCTCGTGCCTTCCATGGGTGTGTGTGTGAAGAGTGAGCTGTGCTGCCTGAAGCCTCAGCTCGGCAGCAGCTCCAGCATTGCCCTCCCAACCCTGGGATAAAGACACGAGACAAATAATATGGGTTAAAACACAGGCCACACTTTATTGATTGCAATTCAGATTTGCCAATCATTTGGCAAAGGGGAGCCTGCTGTAGTGTGGAAATAAGTAAATCGTAGGGGTGTCTGAGTACCCCATTCAGCAGATGGGTGTATCCCTGGCCCTAGGTTCTCGCGGTCTTAAAGACAGCAGGAACCTGGCTGGCCACAATTGTTAGTCTGGTAGTGGCCCAGCACATCTCCCCCCCCCAAGCACTGTAATCACATGATCTGCAGTGCTGGGCGGTCTGATGGGCTGTTAGCTTACCTGATTTTGCAGTGGGGCGCACTGGAAAATACCTGTTTTTCTGCACTACCCGCCACAGCATAGTGACTAGCCATGCTATGTCCCATGCCTGCCACTGAGCTGCTTGAGCTTAACAAGCAGGGCCCCCGTGATGTCTTCCAGGAAGACATCCAAGCCCAAATTGGACAGATGGACTCCATCATTCTGAAAAAATCATGCATATCCAGTCGGATCCTATGGTGACCAATCACTGATCCAAGGCCACTGCAGACTGCTCTGCAGACCTCACAGTTAACACCCCTGCGTGCCGTGTTAATGTTGAGGAAAAACCTGGTGTCTCTCCATGCCAGTCGTGGAATGATCGTGGACCACACGATCCACATAGCAGGGTACCTCACCTTCAACCATTTCAGGTCACAAATAATGTTCAGTATCAATGCCTTACCCGGGTGCCTGGCTAAATCGTTGCCGCCAAGGTGTACGACCAATACATCTGGTGGAGACTGAATGATCGCCAAAGAGCACCCACTATTGGGAAAAATTCTAAGAATGTCAGACCTCTGGTGATACCATTCTGGTGCCACTCCTCGGGCCAGGTGCCTGCACACCACCTTCCTCTAAAATAAATATCGAATCCTAAGGATCCTGCTGCATCTGAATGAACCTGAAAATCTGCTTTCAGCCCGATTTGCCTCTCCAAAAGGAGATTCCATTAAATTCTGCTAAAAACTGGCTCCATACTAGTAAATCTTGTTTCATTTCATGTGTCACTCTGGTCCTATGCATTGATCGATGTAGACCCTGCATAGCAGTGCACAGTCGCCACAGAAATGCTTGTCCCAGAGCCACCACTCTACAGGCAAAATTCAGGTGCCCTACTATCTGTTGATGCTCCTTCAGCTACATCTTTCACCTCTGCAGAAGCATCACTGGTCTTAAGATCCGCTGGTCTTAAGATTCCTGGTCTTAAGATCCGCTAGGCAGCTGTGATGCTTGCTGCATTGTGTCCAGTTCAATCCCAAGGAACGTGAGGGATGTGGTTGGTCCCTTGGTGTTTTCCTCGGCTAAGGGTAGTCCCAGTTCTTCTGATAA